GAAATTTTGGTGACAATTGATACAAAGCAAGGGTATAAAATAAGGGACTGAAGACATTCAATTCGAGTTTTTATTAGTAAAATTTCAATGTCAATCAGCCAAAATTTCTGGCAAAACGACCTGCCCCTTAATTTTTAGGATTTGCACACTGACTGTTATACGTGAGTCATATGAACAAAGTATGACCATGCCGATCATAGTATAGTAGGCTAGACTGGCCCTTATCCTTAATAAAGAGACGTGCAGTAAATAATACTATCAAGTATATCCCTCATCACTATTATAAAAACCATTTATCTGACCTTCAAGAAATACTCAAAAATCCAAACCTATGATCAGTTTGGGTTGCTGCAAATAGTGAAAATAATGATGCAGCCTTTTGGTCTAAGGTATCTCAACTTGGTTTAAGTGGAGCATTTGATAGGGAACATACTTTTGTTGAACTTATAAATTTAATGGTAAAAATAAATGAAAAAAATCACAAAATAAAAAATTAAATGGATTATGATACTCTCAACATTTAGTTCATTTTTTCAGTTTATTATCAGAAAGTTCCAGAGAATATGAAATTTTTAAAAAAACATTTTCTGGTCTTTCAATACAAAGAATAAGGTAGATTTCTTATTTTCTTATTAAATTGAATAAATAAATTGATTGATTGATTAATTGACTGATTTATAATTAATCTTAATAGACAAATTCGCAAAACAGATTCTAGTGCAGTTACCAACCCTGATTTGATATTAGACAATTTTATGAAGTTTGCAGAACTTGTCAAAAAACTTGTATATTCTGAGGATCTTAACTATATAACTGGATCAACCTTGCCACATGATGAAACAACAATTTCTTCAATTGATGATATACATCCAAAAATAAATTATATTTTACAAAATGATGCAGTTGCTACACAAGTTCGTGCTATTGCATTAAAGGTTAGTAATTTTAGATTTAAAATCAATTATTCAATAAATTAAAAAAATGCAATTGTTTTTGTATTTTAGGTTCCTATTGGTAAAGTTCCACAACAAAAGGTGATGAATCTGCTGATCAAATTTCAAATTTGTTACGTGAAGTAATTGAATTAGCAAATGTTGCAAATTTAAATATATTAAGTTTTGGATCAGATGGAGCTAGATCTGAATTCAATGCACAATCAATCATTATGAATGAAGCATCTGGTTTTCTTGAATATAAAGATGCTTTCTATAATATAAATTTCAAAGCTCCAATTTATGAAGGTAAACCATTTATTAGAGTCCAAGACCCCAAACATGCCAAAAAAAACTGCAAGAAACCAAATACATACTGGTGCAAGACTTTTATCACTTGGAATAAGCACAATGCATTATGATCAGCTTTTTGAATTGGCACATCGATCACAACATTTCATTTTAAAACGTGATGTTTTGAATGTAGACAAACAAGATGATAATGCAGCCTTACGCACCTTTCATTCAAATAATTTAATGCAAATTCCAGTTAATGGCAACTTAACTGAAGAATCTATTGGACTTTTTGTATATCTTTTTGTGTTAGGTAATTACTTTTATATATATATTGTCACTTAAAAGTTTTATGTATATACTTACATATATTAGTATATATTTATTTTAGGTGAATTATGTGATGCTTATCTAAATAGAACTATTGATCACAAAACACGTATTGAAATGGTATTGCGTGCTTATTTTTTTCTAAATACATGGAAGAATTATGTTGAATGTTGTAGCATTCATTATTCAAAGAAATGGTATAGTTTACAGAAAAGCTTTATCTCAATCCAAAGTTATGATATTTTTATTAGCATGGCAGAGTCTTTAATTATGCTTATTATTGCACATCGTGAATATTACTCTCTGTTTCCCTTGTTTCCATGGGAACATGGAACTGAGGGATTGGAACATATTTTTGGAATTTCTAGAAGAATACTTCCTGATTTTAATTTTAATGAGTTTTTTAAAATACAACAAAGGGTTTCATATCGTGATAAAATTGCTCGAGCAGGAATAATAGATACCAGTAAAGATCATAATTCAGCAGCAGGTAAATAATGATTTATTTTCTATTTTTATAAAAAAATATTATTCACTATTTATTTTATCAACTCCATTTTCTTAGGCTATGTTTTTGACATAGATGGCACTTCATTACCTCATGAAACAATTGAAATACTTCGCACTTGGCCTACCACTGATGATATCAAAGAATCTACTGTAATTGCATTTAATGAAGCCATGTCCTTAGCAAACTACCTTCATATAAAGCATAATGAATACACAATCCCACCAATTATTACATCCACAGAAAATATGAATAATGCTTTTTCAGAAGATAATGGAGATCAATATTGTGAAATAAATGGTAATTTATTATATTCCAATATTAATTATTTATTATATTCAAAAATTTTAATCTTTTATAATATTTTATTATGTAGACTCTTCCAATGAATTAAATTTAGAATCTATATCACTAACTGGTAATGCAGCTTTGGAAGTAGCTTGCTTATTATCAAGTGCAAATAACAATCAATTGCATGAAGATGAAGTTTTGGAAGATGAATATGAAGATGAATTACAACCATTACCATCTGGAGACTTCCCTGATATTCAATACATTCAGAATTCTCAAGTTGTTCCTGTTGCATTTCAACCATTTCAATTATTCATTGCAAATAATGTTTTAGATATTACAGCTATTTTAGAAATTCGTAAAAGTCATGATGCATTTTCTCATAATCTTCAATCTAATTTTACTAATTCACAACAAATAATAAATACAAATAATAGTGCTACAAATGGGAACACTTTTAATAGAATTATTACAGAAATAGCAGCAAACAATGTTAATGAAGTTCAAAGAAGACAACGTCGGGATTGATGGGAAGGTAGAAGGCGTTTAGAAACAATATCTAATAATTTACCAGGTAATAGAAATCAGTGTTTTTTAACTTATGAGTAATAATAAAATTGATTAAAATTTTTGTTTTGTTAGTAACAAACATTGGGTTTGCAAATATTTTTGATATCCATCCACTTTGCAAGAATGGATTTTTATTTGTGTATTCCAATAAAATCTTGTGTTTGGGTAAAGTAATCACATTTTATGAGAAATGTGGGCAACGACATGCATGGGTAGAAAAGCCAGCAGGATTTTTAGATCATTTATCATATATTTCTATTAAAGTTTATCTTCCAGTATCACAACGGTATTTTTCATGTGAAAATTTTGCAGGAGGAGACATTACAATTCATATTACACCACGAGAAGTAGTTTATTTTTTGGGAATACGTTCTTACTCTAATATTAATGACATTAATCCTTGTTTGATTGCAGTAGATGATGAAACATTTTTAATTTATAATCATTTTAGTATGTCAAGTACACAAAACTTCCTTTTAAATATTTTTAATTAATAAAGATAAATTTCATATGTCCTTGGCTGATTTCGATTCGCATTATTAATAATTTTTTAAATGTGTTCGGAAAATTGATTCGCATAATTATAAAAAACTAAGATTCGCATTAATATGATTTGCTATTTAATTTGGCGGTAACATACTATAGAGTTTTCCCGGTCCTTCTAAAACGCTACGCATCACACGTTCGCGTTATTGAACAATTCAAAAAAATTATTTATGCGTGCGCGCCATTACAATCAAATGCTAAACGCGTATATGCAATACTAACTATGATTCAAAATAGTTATTACTTTTTATTTATTAAAAAAAAATTTTTTTTTAATTAAATTTTTAAATTAAATAATATGCAGAAAATAAAATGTATCTTTGTTATTAATTATTATTCATTTTCATTTTTTTATTCTTGACCGGTGAACTATCCACGGCAGATTCATCAATGGCTTTGCGATACCCAAAAGTCTTAGGTCTGTGTTTCAGAAGCGACTTAATGTGATTCGTAAGGTTTATAATACGATACTATACATAGACATTAGTTAAAAAAGTAGTGATTTTTATATATGCTATAAGAAAGATAAATAATACCTTAAATTCTAACATTGCTTTAATGATGCTCGAAAGTTCATCTAATTGATTTGCGGTATCAGGAATAGTAAAACCATTAACCTGGTCAACCAAATAAAGACCATTGACCCAATGAGCAGAATATATGAAAAAGTCTCTCTCTATATTAAAAGTATGTAATGAGAATCAAAAGTATAATAATAAGAGGGAAAAACTTTTAAAATATTGAGATACATAACTGTATACTTGTATACCAAACGTTTCTAGTCGCTCAAGATCTTTCTTCTGAACTTTCTTTCTAATAATAATTTTCGCAACTTGTAAAGAGATAGTTGCATCGCTAATTAAATTAAAACAAAAGATTCAACAACTTTCACTGGTAAAATCAAAAACCACACTTTTTTGATTTACCCTTCAGCATCTTTTCTCGGTCTTCATTCAACTTATTATCGTCATGTTTACATGGATTGCCAACAACTTCACCAAAACCAACTTGAATATCTTTACTCAGAAACTTTACCATTAAGATCGCATCGTGGGACCATCCAGTTGCTCTTTTCTGTCCTGGTGGTCTTGAACCATCCTTCTGATTTTTTCGATCAATATTTTCTACCTCTCCTCTGATTACAAATGTAATAAATGCATCAGTGTATTATAAGATTCTTTAGAATATGCATAAAGACAATGTACTTACGTTCGCATGTAAATTGCAGGATTAACATCTAAGAATATATCCTCCCAAAGCTTATTAATTAGACGATCACGGTAAGCATATTCGGATAAACTTGCATCGTGAAAAAAATCCGTTGGCATCTGAAAACATGTAATGCTTTCCATATATTTGTGAAGGTTAGTATAATGACATATAAAAATAAATAGCCGATTAATATAATAATATCCTTACAATGAAGTATACACTAGTTGGACCCAGTGAAGAAGCCAGTCTCTTTGAAATACATATTCTGTTCTTCCTTTCTCGAATGGATTTTCATTTATTACTAACGATATTTTATTAACGTTAGATCCAAATCCAATTGTATGTTCTTTGATGGCTTCATCATATTTAATTAAGAGATTCACTATGTCTGCTGGTATCGCTACTGAAAAAGAGCCAATTATTTTTTCTTCTGCCTAAAGAAAAATCATTGTAAATATTATTACTTTCTTGGTTGTATTGCCAATTAAAAAAAACACAAACCATTTGCCAGTCATGTTCGGACGTTGCCCATTCTTGACTTGTCAGAAGATTCTTTATTGGATCTTGTTTATTACCCTCGGGCAAAAAAATTATTTTATATCTCGCAATACCTTCACCATAGTTCAGAAGCTTTTTAACAACTGGATTTGTAACTTCCTATGATGTCAGAAGATAAATTGGTAAAAACTCAAAACTATGCAAAAAAAAATTGGAAATACAAGAATGATGAAACAAACCTCTATTGTAATAAGTTCTTTTAAGAACTTGTCTTCATCAAATTCATCATGTGGCTCAGCTTCAATAGATGACGATTCATCAGGTTCCTCATCAAAAAATTCGTCGTAATCTCTCTTCCGTCTCAAAGCTATTATTTCCATATCATGAATTAATCTTTGTTAATTTACTTTTTAATTCTGCTTTTCATTAATTACATGCCTTCATTACTTTCAATTGTTTCTTTATTTGGTTCCTGTTTGGAAGAATTGTGTTGATAAGATATTAAATGATTAACAGATAAACACATAAAGAATGAAAAGAATAATTTGAGTATTAGGGCAGACTTAACATTAACTTGTTTCCATGCTTGATCGTTGTACAAAATCTCTGTATCCTTAGTAGTAGATTTAATGTATATTTTTGCCTGTTCAGTAACTTGAGTTGCAATCGTTAAATGTTGGTCCGCCTGATTGGAAATAAACCAGCACAAATGTTACCTGATATTTCAAGCACATTAAAAAATGATATTGCATTACCTTCAACATTTTCACTTTGTCTTCAACGTGATTATATATATGATTTGATAAATGATTTAACCAAAAATTGTCAATGCGGCCCATTTTTTTGGAATCCATCTCGCAAATACAAATATGTGTAAAGCAAATTATTTTTATCAAAGTGAGAAAGAACATGTCAAAAAATCGAACAGCAAGTTACAAGCTGGCTGTAGCAGAGGCGTAGTCCATAACCATGCGGAGACGTAGTCCCATGGGTAGCTACAGCCTGCAGCGGAGGCGTGGTCCATAACCATGCGGAGACGTAGTCCCATGGGTAGCTGCATGAATGTAACGAAGCTATCCAAAAAAAATTTTATACCTCGAATTGTTTCTGGAAACGTATTACATTCTGTTTCTCCTTTCCTGAACCATGAATAGTTATATAATGTATTTGTTTTCAATTGCTCTTGTTACAGAAGCTTTATCCATAGTAAGTTTGGCAGCTTTCCATGCCTTATGGTATTGAAGAACATCCCAATCTTCGCAAGGAGTATTTAGAAAGTAGCTAAATCCAGGCCTTCCAGTGTCTGATAGCATTATTGTAACAAATATGTCACTGTAACTTGAACTAAAATCTTAAGAACGTAACTTTTCATAAACAAATTATAAGAATTAGAAATATTGAAAGTCTTGTTAATTTCCTTAGAAAAGGAACCATGCAAGTAATAAGTTGCAACAAAAAAATAAATCAAGATTTACCAATTACAAATCCCCAGTAATTAAGAATCCTTAAACAATAATAGAACAAACAGGAGCTGCAATCCAGGATTGAAATTATTTTTTATAAAAGTTGTGGGAAAAAAACTAACTTTTTCAAAACAAATTTGTGAATTAATTGATTGGTTAAGACATTGTAGATCTGCACATGGGAAAATTCTTATCCTTAAGGGTAAGCATAGTGGAAGTTTGTTGTTACACGAAACGTTATACAGAACTCATTGCTTCTGAAACTTCGCTAGTATATAATTATTACCTCTCTAAATTGGAGATCAAGTTCAGATCCAATTCAAATCCAGTTTATCACTTACTTTTTATTGCCAGAATGCTTGCCGTGTATTGTAAAGCTATGTTGCACAATATAAAAAATTAGTGTAACATTTCAAATTTCCACTATGCTTTAAGGGTAGAGTTCTGTTACACAATATATCATATGGCAAAAAAATCACACGACCACAATTTTTAAACTTTTTTGTAAAATTGCGAAACTTAAATGAAACTTTGTATATATACTCTCTGGGATTAAAACTATTGAACAATG